CCAACAATCTGCTCCACCTCTGTCACCGGATACTCCCCTTGACGAAAGCTCTCACGCAGGTAGGGATATTCGTCGTCTATCAGCTGCATCTCAAAGGACTTCCAACAACAACAACATGGATTCTGTAGGCAAACGAACGGCTGCCGCCAAGGCTGCCACTGCTGCCAAGAAGGTGCCGAAGAAGAAAGTCAAAGGTCGCAATGGAGCAGGTGCTGCCATTGGAAAGGGCGGTACTTCGCATTCCCAACAGAAGTCACCAGCTAAGAAGAGCAAGAGTGCTGATTTGGAGAGGCAGGTTATAGCATTACAGAAGCAGCTTGAGGAGGAACAGGCAAAGACTGAGAAGCTGAGTTTGGAAGGAACCGACACCGATTCGAATGCTACTGATGATGAATCGGTAGCCAAAGACGATGTCCATTTTATTGTCACCACCGATGAAAGTGCTCCGATGAATAAGGAGATGAAGACGGCAATCAAGAACACTGACTGGCGGAGGTTCAAGTTTGTCAACAGCGAAAAGCTGGCAATTGCCCTTACCACAGCCACTCTTGATACTATGCAGTTGAAGGGGCTGATGTTGACTGGCAATGCAAAGAAGGACAGACGTATGTAATTGAGTTGGTTTTGCTTTGCGGATTGTCTGATGCACCTTGCAAATCTCACACCGGCTACCTCCCTTTTCTTGCTGTGCTGACATAGGTATTAAGTCCAAGCGCAAACTGTTTATCAAGCTCTGGTCACATATTGCAGTCAAGACCCTCAATGTTGTACGCAACTATGTTTGTAACCGAATCTTTGAGCATGTCAAGAAGCTTGTCAAGGTACATGGAGTGGACAAGTTCCCAACCATGATTGAGGTCCTGAAGGTGATCAAGCGGGATGCCATCTTGTTGCCACCTGGAGAGGGAGCCACTGAGGGTGCGAAGGCACAGCATGAGCGACTCATGTTTGTTGCTAAATGGATGTGGGATTGCCTCTATGCTCAGGCTGGTGGTGCATCCAAGTTTTGGAGGAAGGCAGTTCGCAAGAACTACATCATTTCGGAAGCCAGGGTTGATGGTTTGGAGGCTTTCCCTCCCAATTCGGAAGCATTTGCTGCCCTCGCCTTCGAGAATGGTTACACAGCGGAACCAGGTGCTGTGGACAATGAAGGCAACCCTACCAATGGAAAGTGGCACGAGTACTTCAAGGTTACCAATGGCTTCACCTTGGACGTGAAGTTGCCTCGCTCCAGCAAAGCAGATGATCCGGAGGGAGTTTATGAAGGGAGGTACTCCAGTTCCAAGGCTGGATCTTCTGCTTTTGGAGGGTGGGGTGATAAAGGTAGAAGCTTGTCAAGGAATCTAGAGCCCAGGACCATGTTAAATTGGTGGATGGGGCCATCCTTGCTCGTGTGCGCAAGGACATCTACAAGATTCCTGATAGTGTCAATGCTGGAACTGAGGACTCCAAGAAGAATCGCAAGCGCCAAGAGTCCAGTGTGAATCTTGATGAGATTGATGATTAGGTTGCCCCTTGGCAACCTAGGACCCCATCATTTGGTGGGGTCCTACCCAGGCTTTTGGTGGCTTCCTCCACTTTCTTCAATTTCATTTCTCCCCTTTTAGCAGGGCTTCCAAGACGACTTTGTTACCTATGGCGTCCTTGTTTGGTTGCCCCAGCCGTCCTTTTTTGGAATCATTTGGACCCTTTTCTCGGACCTATGGATGCCCGTACCGTTACAGTTGGTTACATATGAGTGACCTGTTTCTCCCCTTTTACTACGAACATTATGTCATTGTTCGCTTACCTCCACTACTCTGTTATTAGTAGTACCATAACGAATTTAGCCCCAATCATATCCAACATTGTGTACTGCTTTTCTCCATTTTGGAAACCCCTACTTATAGATTTAGTAACCTAGGACTCTTTCATTTGGGAAGGAATGGCTGAGCTGTTTTGGATTCCGGGGCTTGGGGAATAGCCTACAACTGCCCTTCTGTAATTAGCATCACAAAGTGCATCAACTTGTAAGCCATGTATAGAAAGGGGAACGGAATTCGGTAGAGGAATAGTGAACGCTTAGTTCAACATTCTGTAACCGTTACGCCAATGACTCGTGCTGCAATTGCATCTGTATATGCCTGAGTCGATCGTCTTCAATTAGTAGGATAAGAGGTTCTTGAATATTGCACAGCTGACCTCACAAAATGGGAAGGATCATTCCTCGGTGTTCTTGTACCCACCATACATAAACGCGAGGTCAGTTACCTATTGGTAACCTTACCATCGACTGACCTGGCAATTTTGTAACCGACCTCGCTGTTTTCGCGCTACCCCATTATGCGCTTCTTAGATGTTGGTCGGCTGCATGGAGTTGCCAAAATAGTACATATAGTTGCAGGAGTTGTGCATTTTGCTGCTGAAGTCCTGCACGGATCTCCTGAAGTCCTACAGTGAGCTCCTGCCATGGCTGTAATTCTGGATTGTTCTCGAAAAAGGTCTTAGTGACACTCTGTTGGATGGGTGTCTAGTTCTCAAGAATAATCTTGGCCAATTCCTCTGCTTTGATCTTGAAGGCCTTGAGCTGTTCCTCCGTTCCGATCCGCTTGGTCTCAACCTCCTTGTGGCAATGTTGGCGATCCTGTTTGTGGCAACGATCCAACTCCTTCATCTTCTCTATTTGGCGACGATTTTTTTCAATGGCTTCCACCTTGTCGCGTTTCCGCTGGGCCTTGATACGGTCCATGTCTTGAACGTGCTGGCGTTCCACCTCAGCTTGTGAGGTCAAATATACTAGCTAGTATTTGCTTGTTGATGTTGATGTGATGGCGATGGCTAGGTAGATGTGGGCTTCCTGCTGATGGCTTGCTGAATTTATGAGGGTGATAAAGGGAGGTAAAAGAAATTTATATACCTGGCAGACCCCGGTGATCTCTGACCCCGTTTATTGTGGTGGTGGTTGGTTGGTTTTGGTTGGTTGGTTGTCCTTAGGGTTAGAGTTTATCTAAAAACGAAGCCCCCTCTTGGGCCCCCACATTTCTTACACATTCTAATAGCAATGGATCCTGAATATTTTCCTCACATTTGCACACCTCTAAACTCCCCTAAGCTACCACGCCACTTTCTCAGATGGAAAAATCTAACGCCTCATGTTGCACACCTCTAAGCTCCCGTCAGCTACCTCGCCACTTTCTCAGATGGAAAATCTAATGACACTACCTTCAGCCAAACTTCAACAATATTACTATGCCGGCCCATCTTTTAAGTCAGCTCGCCCGGTATATCTATTACACCTCCAGTGTCCTTTATCTTCGGCTTTGGATGGGGCCGCCCAAATTGGGCCAGACTGCGAGCCGATGTAAAGGTGGATTCCATTTGATTGGCTTTCCAATTCCCGTTACTCCTGGCCTTCCCATTCCCAGTCCCACCATGTTTCAAAACTGAAGAGCCAGGATCGTTCTGCAACACAGTACAGTAGTAGTGAGTGAAAATAAGACAGGGCGAATAAGATCCAGCACCATGGTCTGTCCATCTGTCCCGTGGTAGTCACTAGGGCGTAATAGCATTTGTGTTGTGTGAAAAAATTTAAAATGTTAGCTATCCAACGATGTATAGAACATAGTGATTGGACGTTTGGAATCTATCGTTCTATCTTAGTTAAGTTAACGACAAATCCGGCGTCGATTGCAAGCAATGGTTTTTGGGCTTGTGACTGCCAATGAAAGCAGTCCCGAAGCCGATTTCGGTCGTTTTCTCATTACAAAAAAGCTTCCACGATAATAGAAACTGACACCATGCCCCCCTCTAGGATCGCTCTAGGAGCCTCTGCCGCTGTTACTACCACCACTAGACTAGCTGCCAGCCCCCTGGTTCCCTACTGCTCCATCAAAGGCCGAAAGGATCTGGAGGAAGAAGATGAAAACGAAGTCTTGGATGCTTTCAAAGAGTATGTCGAGAAAGCATTGGCTCAACCATTCTGCTACGACGTTACCACCAATCCTGGAAGGAAGAGCAAGTGCAGCTGCCTGAATGAGCTGAGGCCCGAGCTTGATAGTGATGACCTGGATGAATGTGTCAAGGGCATGCTGCTGTTTTGCAAGTATGGATTTGCTGAAAGAAATAGAATTTTGAAAGAATGGATCAGATCAGCTATGGGAGCGGCATACATTCTTCTTGGTCATCGGCGGAAGGATCAACACCGAGTGCATCTCCCCCCAGGTTCCACCAACAGATTCATCTGCAAGAATGCCCTCGCTCAGATCCTTGGAATAGGAAGAAGCCAATGGAGCGCCGATGTGAAATTTGCAAAAGACAACAAAGATCCGGTTCATGGTCTGAAGGGAAAGCCATCCAACAGGATGTGTCAAGAGACACAGGATGTTTTGCATGAGTTCTTTAACACAATGAAGGAGCTTGCCATGCCTCGTGCAACCAAGGTGGTGAGGCAGCAAATCTGTGAAGGAATTACAACAACAATCGAGTTGGTGAACGACGATCTGGAAATGGTTGAACTTCCATCGTGCATGACGAAGCGGGGACTCTACAACCGATTCGTAGGAGAACTTGGCTGGACAATCAAGTGGGACACCAAGGCACGGATTCTCAAGAAGACAGAGAAGGCAACAGAACAGAAAGTCACAGCAGACAAGATTCCAACGTGAGGCACCTTTCGAATCTTCTGGAAAAAGGAATACCCAAAGCTTTACATTCAGCGCCCTAGGGAAGACATTTGTGGGGAATGCTACATCTTCCAGAATCAACACAAATACGTCCATCGCTTCGGCAGAGATGACGAGTCGGAAGATGAGTATGACTGGGAGGACGCAATTGCAATGCTCGATCCCTACACCAGTGTGGAAGACCGGTACAGGGCGGCTATTCGTTATGAAGACATGGTCATCAAGGCAAACTTCCATGTTGAAATGGCAAGTCGTCAGAGAGATCTCTTCAATTTGAAGAAAGCTGAAGCAATTCCAGACACTAACAAAGAATGGGATAAGAGAGTGTACACGTTTGTCTGCGACTTTGCGAAGAACCTGGACGTTCCTCATTATGGTGAAGAACAACCTGGCGAGGTCTACTACTATTCACCACTCTGGGCTTATGTGTTTGGTGTTGTCGATTGCTCGAATGGCCACCTCAACGCTTTCACGTACCTTGAAGGGGAAGGAAAGAAGGGTGGCAACAACGTTGCCAGCATGCTGTGGTCGCTACTGCAAATGGAGGGACTTTGCTGCCCTGTCACCATGGGACGTGTTTATGGTCATGACCATCCTGTGCCGGAGATCAACTTTGTCTTTGACAACTGTTCCGGTCAAAACAAAAACAGAATGGTGCTTCGATTCCTTATGTATCTTGTCAACAGAGGTGTTACTGTTATGGCCCGTGCCATCTTCCTTATTACAGGCCACACCAAGAATGACTGCGACCGGATGTTCAACTTGATGAAAAAGAAGTATCGAAAGGTAACACGATGGTGTCACTCTGGTTCTTCCCACAAAAACCTCAATTCAAAACGTCTCACCTACTTCCTTTCTACTACTCTTCCATACTGCTAGGCAAACATCTACACTCCTGCTGAACTGATTGAAGCAATGAAGCACGACGATATTTCTCTCATTCGAGTGAATCCAGAGACTGAGTTCCTTGATTGGGATGCTTATCTTGACACTTATTGGTCTACAGTCAAAGACATCAAGGAAAACCATGTCTTCACAGTGGATGGAAGCAAGGACATGCATCGAATCTACACGGAGCTTTTTGACTCCACCAAGGTCAAGTCGCAGCTGCTGACCAAGTCTGCTTATAGACAAAGCACTCCCTTACAACCAGTCAACCTCACAGGCGAACCAGAGAAGATTGAAGTCCCTGGCATTACTGACATCAAATGGAAGGAGCTATATGACAAGTGGCGTCCGCTTGTTCCACAGGACAAATGGAAGGAGCTACGTTGGTTTAGAGAAGATTCTGGCGACGAGCGACGAAAGAAAGTCAAGGATAATAGCAAGAAGGCGAAAACAACTAGGAGAGAGCGAACAGCTACCAAGGGAGCTACTACTAGATAGATAACACCTGTTGCCATGGTGACACTTTAAGGTAAGTCATCACATTGGATTTTGGCTGTGTTTTACTCAATAAAGTGTGTTCTAACTTCAAACTCAATTATCTCGCCATGGTAATCCCGCAGAAAACCGACGACGGACAGAATTTTGACACTCGATCTTATTCGCCCTGTCTTAAATGTACTTTTTACATGTAGGTTGCAAGCCCAAAGGCTCGTGAAGAAAGTCCCAAAGAGAGGAGGAAGACAGGTTTAGAAGGGTAGTTGTGGTAAATATAGGGTTAAAGCTACGTTTTACTCCATATTTTTGTAAAAAAACAAATATTTACCGCAACTACCTGAACTTGCCGAGAAGAGCTCCAAGAAGCATGCAATGGCGACATTTCCTCAAAATGGGAGCCAGTTTTTATTAAGGAGACGTCTCCTATTCTTTCTTGCTTGTTAGTAAGACAAGTCCCACACCTTAATTTCCAAAAGGGCCCGGTGCACGAAAGGCACAAAAGCACGAAATGAGGAGAACAAGACTATCATAGTTGCCCATGTTGTTGCTACTAGTACGGTACGTGACCGGTAGGCACCGAAGACGAGTTCAAGAGTTTTGAGCCAGGATCTCTCCCATCAAAAGCAAGACGAAAATACATGTATTCGTTGCGATCAGCAGTAGGTTGGTGACAAGTTGTGGCCCACCCTATTGCAAGCAACATGTCGGCTCTATCATGTCCATCGTTTTTGGTATAACATCTTCTCATGATCACCACTCTAACCACTACTAGCTAGCTAGTACATGACATGTATGTATGCATAGCATCATATAATAACAGCCGCTTGTGTGTGCGCGTTAACGGTCCTTGCTGGTTCCGTAAAGCTTGCCTAACATGGGTTCCCAATCCCCTTGTGTTGCAGGTGTCGCTCCGTGGAAGAGGAAGTTCCGTGGTCCTCTCGGGGAAAAAAGACTCCAGTCATCCACCGAAAGCTGAAAGAAGATCTGTCGAACAAAAGAAGCTCCTGCCGATGCTTCCAATTTCACACAGCAAGCAGATCCATAGAATATGTATCATATGGTTGTTAGCAAAAGTGACCGCTTGTCTGGTTGCTAGCTAGCCAGTAGCTATTAATACCATACTGCATAGATTTACCGTAAAGCTCCGGGCTACGCGTACCGGTACAGTCATAGAAAGCAACTTTCTACCAGCTGAGCAGGTCGCAAGCCAGCTACCGTAGTCTTTGATAACACTGAAGGGGATGCATGCCACGGGTACCATACAAGAATGTCCTCTGCAACACGGAAATAAATGCAAACCAGTGAAAACACTGCCCCTCCCGGCCTCCCGGGCCCCGGGCCTCTCATTGAAGAAGCAGGGACGGAAACAAAAAGAATGGTGCCCTTGATCTCTTCCACTAGTCTACCCCTCTTTATCCTTCTTGCCCCACGTGTTCACTCAATCAATTGCTCCACTAGAAGACAACTTTGTATTTCAGGAGCTATTTCAGGTAGTTGCCGTAAATAATAGTTTTCATACAAAAATACAGAGTCAAACGTAACTATAACCCCATACAGTAGTTACTGCAACTACCCTTCTAAACCTGTCCTCCCGTTGTTCTGCTCTCTCCCATGGCACCTGGCACGGTCCACGACTGCATTGGAACAAGACCAACCATGCTTGGAACAAGACCAACCATGCTTGGAACAAGACCAACCATGCTTGGAACACGACTGATTCTGGTGCCATGGCACGGTCCACGACTGCTTTGGAACGGGACCGAGGATGCTTGGAACAAGACCAACCATGCTTGGAACAAGACCAACCATGCTTGGAACAAGACCAACCATGCTTGGAACAAGACCAACCATGCTTGGAACACGACTGATTCTGGTTTTTGTCATAAACCAATCGACAGCATTTGACATTCAACAGAGCATGCCAGAACTGGCATGGAGCGATCACTTTGATCTTCCACTGTTCACTGACATCACACGGATGCCAAGCAATTGTCCCCTCTTTTCATTATTTCGATCGATACCTCTGTCTTTACTCTGTGAAGATCATGCTATCTCCTTTACAGCGGCTACTCCTCTTGAAGACGTCTTCACCATGACCATGACAGGTTCCACTTGATCGGCCTTCCGGTCGACTTCCAAGTCTTCTTCCACGGCACGCCTCTACCGCTAATGCAACAACAAGCGACTAGCTAGACTACTAGACTACAACTAGAATGACGCCTCGTCAATGGCACAAGTTTCTTTTGTTCGGCGGATCGATTCACAGAGCGGCGGTGAGCCTATGACACTGCTACTACAAAAGGATCAAATGGCAGCTTCTCCACTACTGCTTTTGAGTGATGGAACAGGAAATCAATTCCCTTGATGACATATGATGATGGATTGCTTGGAGAAATCCATGGCAGAATGACAACGTCCAAATTTGAATTTTCACTGACATTCCAAAGGAAAACCTTCGAGATGGCTGAATCCCTTCAAGGTTCAAGGGGTGGCTCTGTGAGTGTGTTGGGGAGCTAATAGTCTGACAGACTCAGCAATGTATTGGTAGAGCTCTTGCCCTGATAAAAATTCAATTATTTTCCTCCAATCTTTACTTTGTTGGACCATTGATTTTCTATTGTGTTCCGTGAAATGAGCAAACATAACCGCAAAAAAATTCACATTTGACACCTGTCAGTGGTAAATTTTAAAAGGCAATGGGAGCTGCAACACCTGGGCAGAAAGACAGATAGAAGAAGGATGACATGTTTGAGATTGCACTCTTCTTTCAAGCTAGCCCAGGCCGCCCCATATCATTCCCTCATTGTAACCTTCTTTTTATTTAGGCTGGCCCTGGCAACAACACCCAACTTCGTCCTGTGTTGCTGCCCAATAACCATAATTCTACAGCTGTCACTCCCGTATGTACCTGTAACTTTGTAGCTTCTGCTGGCTTATTGTGTTGAGTGCACTAACCTTGAATAATCATAATTTATTCCTACCCCTAAATTTGTAGAACCTTCAATTTCCAGTTGCTTATGCCTATCTCTATCCCTATATTTTGGCTTCACCCCAACAGGAAATAGGAAATAGGAAATACCAAAAAAGGGGGTGAGGGCTCAGGCAGATAGACTGCCGAGGTAAAGTCAGATACTGGAGCTGTACTGTTGGGTAAGGCAACACTGTAGCTACTGGCTATTATCAAGTTAATTTGTTGATTTGGACGAGCTGAGCAGAAAGAATGATCTTTCTGGCTGGTCACTCTGAAATCTGGATTCTGAGAATGCCAGTTTCCTTAAAATCCTACGTCGGTGTGGTCTTTTTCTTATCTGGGTCCGCTAAATATCTAGACCGGCCAAAACACTCCTGCCGTGGTCCCTAATGCATTCTCGGAACAATTAAAACTAAACTAAATAGGGGGATGCCCCATAATGAAATCGCTGTAGTCCCTAATGGATCCACGGAACGATTAAAACTAAACTAAATACGGGGATGCCCCATAATGAAATCGCGATGCGCATGGAAAAGGGCACCCTGGAGGGGCTTCGTGAGAAAGTCCCCATGCATGTCCTGTGTGGGACAATACACCACTTGTACATTTCCCTGCTTCACTTGGTCATGAATAAAGAAGAAACGCACATTAAGAGCATTAGTACTCTTACCATTCTTGGCGACAATGATAGCACTCTTGTTGTCTTGGTAAAGGATGTTCTCCTGAACATCGACACCTTGGGCTTCCAAAAACAACTTGGTCCACAACAAAGGGCTCATAACATCGTCAGCTCCAATGAGTTCGGCGTTGGTACTGCTTCAAGCGTTGGGTTTCTGCTTGCTAGAGACAGCAATTGGGGCACCGCGGCCGAAACTGAGCATTCCTCCGATTTGGGAACGATAGTGTGGATGCACAGCAAAGCTGGCGTCCACCCACCAGTGAATAATGCGAACGTCGTCAGCATGGAGGATGAGCTTGTCGTTCAAGGTCTGTTGAATAAACTTGAGGGCTTGGAGAAGTTTGCCCCAATCGTTCTGGTTGAGCTGCTTCACTCGAGTACAAAGGACGGTAGTCAGGGTTTGCATATCTGGACGTGCACGCTTACAGGCAAAGAGTAGCTTGGCTGTGTTCGTGTGGAAGGTATCCTTCGTCTCAGGGTCCAGATTGTCACCGTCGCTCACCCACAGAAAATAATTCAGCTGGGGCTGCACTCGGAACAGAACGGACATGGTCAAAGTTTACAGGGAACTCCTCCAGCACCTTGGTATGTCAATCTTGACTTTGCCCGGATCACAGAAATCAATCGTCATCCCTAGATAGTCATGCTTGGGTCCTCTGGATGCTTTGACAGCACTGTAGGTACCATACTTCTTGTTGCACCAGGCCAGGAATTCGTCATTCACCTTGGCCATCATATGACTGGACATGAGATTGTCGACATGGAAACGGATAGTCTGTTACTTGCCATTGACCATCCTGTTGGCAACACAAGGATCGTAGGGGTTGAATTCAAAACCAATAGACTCCAGATCCTTGCGGAACATTCCATAGAGTGCCTTCAATACCACAACGTAGAGGATAGGTCTTCCCTTCTCATGGACAAGGAATGGCTTGTAAGTGTCACGGTCAATTTCCACGAGTAGCTCTGCGAGAGTACCTTCGATCTTCATGATCATCCTGTCACCACCATCCTTGGGTTACGGCAATGCTGTCTGAATGAAAGCATTTGGTACATCCAAAGTCATAACATCATACGTCAGGTCTAAAAGAGATGAAGAAGGCGATGATGCTAGACTGCCCACTATCGACATGAACCAAAGTCCTTTTGACCTTCCAGATGATGGTGAAGAATGGGAGATAGGGGAGATCACTCCAGAAGAACCTACTCCAATGGACGAACCACCTCTCAGGGAAATGCCCCAAGTAGAGACAGTCAACGACGATGATGACAACATTGCGAACCATCAGAAGGACGAGCCCGAGAAAGGACACAGAGGAACCATTCATCTTCCACAAATGACAAATGAAGACTGACAATCCCACCGAATCAGAACTACCTCCTGAACAGATGATTGAAAGAACATTTCTCATGCCACCCGCAGAAGATGGAACTAGAGTAAGAGCCAAGATCCTTGAAAGAGTCAAACACCACAAGGAGAAGGTTCAGCAACATCCCGATATGATCAAGTTCAAATGCAGGGTCAATGTCGAATACGAGGAGATCGTAGCCTACAACAACATCGTGGACTACATTGAACAAGACCAGACTTGGGATAGTACTTGGAAGTTCCGCAAGATCTTGGATCACCAAGGTCCCATCAAGTCATCTGATAAGGAAGGATACAAGGGATCACAATACAACGTACAAGTTGAATGGGAAACTGGGGAGATCACTTGGGAACCTCTCACCACAAAAGACAAGATGGGAGTACATGAGTCTGATCCAGTCACGGTTACCATCTATGCTGAAGAACACGGTCTACTAGACACAGTAGGATGGAAATTACCTGGACTCAAGAAGATCGCAAAGACTCAAAAGCGACTAGTACGAGGGCTAACCAAGCAAAGCTTCACTCCTTCAGGACCAAGCCCGTATTCATGTACGGATTCCAAGTTCCACGCAACCATGACCAAGCCATGGAATTAGATGCACGAAATGGAGACACCAAATGGAGAGATGCCGAGATGACCGAACTCAACCAGATTGATGAGTACGAGACCTTCATCAACAAGGGAAAGGGAAATAACCCTGGACCAGATTGGAAGAAGATTCGGGTACACATGGTATATGCAGTCAAGCACGATGGAAGACACAAAGCACGGCTAGTTGCTGGAGGACACCTCACTGACACACCAGTAGACTCTGTCTATTCCAGTGTGGTTTCATTACGTGGAATTTGCATTCTCACATTTCTCGCAGAACTCAACGATTGTGAGGTATGGGCAACAGACATAGGAAACTCCTACTTGGAATCGTTTACAAAAGAGAAGGTGTACATTGTTGCCGGACCCGAGTTCGGAGAGCGAGAAGGATGCACCCTCATCATCAGCCGTGCCTTGTACGGACTCAAGTCATCCGGATTATGCTGGCACGAATTGTTCGCAGATGTTCTCCGATCCATGAGATTCTTCCCTTCCAAGGCCGAATCTGGATGCGAGACAAAGGGAACTGCTACGAATACATTGCTGTATACGTGGACGACCTCCTCATTGTCAGCAGAGAAGCATCCAAGATCATCATGACATTGGAAGGGGAGCACAAGTTCAAACTCAAGGGAACCAGTGCCATCAGCTTTCATCTAGGATGTGACTTCTTCCGTGACGAGAACGGGGTACTAAGCTACACACCACGCAAATACATTGAGAAAGTGCTCAGCAACTATCAAAGGCATGTCGAAACAGGCCTTGTCTCCTCTCATCAAAGGAGACCACCCAGAAATTGACACAACAGAATTGCTCCGTCGAAGATAATTTCGTGCTGGTAGGTGCGGCGGCGAGCATTGCTTCGAGAGCGTGTGGACGTTGCGTGATTTGCACTGTCATGCAGTTGTGCTTGCTTGAGAAGGGCTGCTCGGTATTGTTCCAGCGAGTACTTGGAGGTGTCTCCTGCAGCTTTCTTGGTTTGCAGGGCGAGACGTCGTATTGGAGCGAGATTTGGTGCCTTGGAGATTGAGCGTTCCAAGAAACGTGCTCCCTGCGTGTCAGTGTACGGCTCGTCACTGGTCTCATTGTTGTCGAAATTGTTTGAGGAAATTGGAGATGAAACCTGCTTGGGACCCTCTCCATCCACCGTCCGTGAGATCAGTGGAGGTAAGATAAGACGAAATCTTGTCTGAGCACAGGGTTGCGACCATGGACTTGGAGTAATATCCGTCGATTGCCTTCCAGATCGCTGGAGTGTCCTTGTCGATTTCGTTGGCAAGAACGACAGATCGTGCCTGTGCCTCTAAGAAGATGTCCTCGAAGGTCTTGTACATCCATTCTCGTTGTTTCTTGTCGAGTTTGACGTTGGTGACCGAGAAGTCAGAATCAATGAGGTGGGAGAGACCTTGAGATTTGAGCGTGTTGAGGAAGTTCTTCTTCCATTTGATGAAAGAGGATTCGTCACGAAACTCTCTGAACTCCGACCGGACAGGCTTGTTGTTCTTGTCCCATAGTGCGATTGCACACTCCCCATCAGTCATCGTGGCATCGCTACATCTCATTTGCTGCCATGGGATGATTTCGCCGTGGGGCTGGAATAGTCCAACTCTGAAAGCATCCAGGGCGGTGGCCGCCAGCGAAATGATTCGTATTGGTGCCTTCCTGCGACGGGATACAGCTTACAATTCAGCTTTACAGCTTTACAATTAGCAGGCTTATTCTAGAAAATAATCAATAACTGCTCACTTATTTGGAAATACAAACTTTACATCTCTTAGATCCTTAGACTAGTCAATGCACAATGGTATTGTCGCATGGTAGCATGCGCGGTTATGAGATGTTACTCATTCTTATTCTTATATGTCTACCCCTTGTTATCATCAGTGGTAACCCCTTTTCTCGACTGGACTCGCTCGCAAGCAATCCCCTCGTTGATCCCCTGGATTCGC